AGCAGCGTCATCAGTAGCGTCATCATCAGCGTCATCAGCAGCAGTGTCATCAGCAGCGTCATCAGCAGCAGCAGCGTCATCATCATCAGCAGCGTCATCAGTAGCGTCATCATCATCGTCATCAGCAGCATCATCAGCAGCGTCATCATCATCATCGTCATCAGCAGCGTCATCAGCAGCGTCATCATCATCGTCATCAGCAGCGTCATCAGCAGCGTCATCAGCAGCGTCATCATCATCGTCATCAGCAGCGTCATCAGCAGCGTTATCATCATCGTCATCAGCAGCGTTATCATCATCGTCATCATCATCGTCATCATCATCGTCATCAGCAGCGTCATCAGCAGCGTCATCATCATCACTACCGACACCACCCCTCCTCATCCACCCCCTTCCCCCCCCCTCCCCCCTGCCCCTCCCCCTACCCCCTGCCCCCCCTGCCCCTCCCCCCTCCCTCCCCATCCCCCCTGCCCCTCCCCCCTGCCCCCCCTGCCCCCCCTGCCCCTCCCCCCAGAGAGGCTGCTGTCTTGCTGCAGTTTTACATCGGATCCACGAGTCAGAAAGTGGCCCTTGGATTTATGGTGAGTGGTGGTGGTGGTGATGATGATGATGGTGGTGATAGAGGTGGTGATGGTGGTGGTGGTGATGGTGGTGGTGATGGTGGTGGTGATGGTGGTGGTGATGGTGGTGGTGGTGATGGTGGTGGTGAGTGGTGATGGTGGTGGTGGTGGTGATGGTGGTGATGGTGGTGGTGATGGTGGTGGTGGTGATGGTGGTGATGGTGGTGATGGTGGTGGTGATGGTGGTGGTGGTGATGGTGGTGGTGAGTGGTGATGGTGGTGGTGGTGGTGATGGTGGTGATGGTGGTGGTGATGGTGGTGGTGATGGTGGTGGTGGTGATGGTGGTGGTGAGTGGTGATGGTGGTGGTGGTGGTGATGGTGGTGGTGGTGATGGTGGTGGTGGTGATGGTGGTGGTGAGTGGTGATGGTGGTGGTGGTGGTGATGGTGGTGATGGTGGTGATGATGGTGGTGGTGGTGATGGTGGTGGTGGTGATGGTGGTGGTGATGGTGGTGGTGATGGTGAGTGTGGTGGTGGTGGTGGTGGTGATGGTGGTGGTGGTGGTGAGTGGTGATGGTGGTGGTGATGGTGGTGAGTGTGGTGGTGGTGGTGGTGGTGATGGTGGTGGTGGTGATGGTGGTGGTGATGATGGTGGTGGTGGTGGTGATGGTGGTGGTGGTGGTGATGGTAGTGGTGGTGGTGATGGTGGTGGTGATGGTGGTGGTGATGGTGGTGGTGAGAGTGGTGGTGGTGGTGATGGTGGTGGTGGTGGTGGTGATGGTAGTGGTGGTGGTGGTGGTGATGGTGGTGATGGTGGTGGTGGTGATGGTAGTGGTGGTGGTGAGTGGTGGTGATGGTGGTGGTGGTGATGGTGGTGATGGTGGTGGTGGTGATGGTGGTGATGGTGGTGGTGATGGTGGTGGTGGTGATGGTGGTGGTGGTGGTGATGGTGGTGGTGATGGTGGTGGTGATGGTGAGTGTGGTGGTGGTGGTGGTGGTGATGGTGGTGGTGGTGAGTGGTGATGGTGGTGGTGATGGTGGTGAGTGTGGTGGTGGTGGTGGTGATGGTGGTGGTGGTGGTGGTGATGATGGTGGTGGTGATGGTGGTGGTGATGGTAGTGGTGGTGGTGATGGTGGTGGTGATGGTGGTGGTGGTGATGGTGGTGGTGAGAGTGGTGGTGGTGGTGATGGTGGTGGTGGTGGTGGTGATGGTAGTGGTGGTGGTGATGGTGGTGGTGGTGATGGTGGTGATGGTGGTGGTGGTGGTGATGGTAGTGGTGGTGGTGGTGGTGATGGTGGTGATGGTGGTGGTGGTGATGGTGGTGATGGTGGTGGTGATGGTGGTGGTGGTGGTGATGGTGGTGGTGGTGATGGTGGTGGTGGTGATGGTGATGGTGGTGGTGGTGATGGTGGTGGTGGTGGTGGTGATGGTGGTGGTGGTGGTGATGGTGGTGGTGGTGATGGTGGTGGTGGTGATGGTGATGGTGGTGATGGTGGTGATGGTGGTGGTGGTGATGGTGGTGATGGTGGTGGTGGTGATGGAGGTGGTGATGGTGGTGGTGGTGGTGGTGGTGATGGTGGTGGTGATGGTGGTGATGGTGGTGATGGTGATGGTGGTGGTGATGGTGGTGGTGGTGATGGTGGTGGTGGTGATGGTGGTGGTGGTGGTGAAGGTGGTGGTGATGGTGGTGGTGGTGATGGTGGTGGTGATGGTGGTGGTGGTGATGGTGGTGGTGGTGGTGGTGAGTGGTGATGGTGGTGGTGGTGATGGTGGTGATGGTGGTGGTGATGGTGGTGGTGGTGATGGTGGTGGTGGTGATGGTGGTGGTGATGGTGGTGGTGATGGTGAGTGTGGTGGTGGTGGTGGTGGTGATGGTGGTGGTGGTAGTGAGTGGTGATGGTGGTAGTGATGGTGGTGAGTGTGGTGGTGGTGGTGGTGATGGTGGTGGTGGTGATGGTGGTGGTGGTGATGGTGGTGGTGGTGGTGATGGTGGTGGTGGTGGTGATGGTAGTGGTGGTGGTGATGGTGGTGGTGATGGTGGTGGTGGTGATGGTGGTGGTGAGAGGGGTGGTGGTGGTGATGGTGGTGGTGGTGATGGTAGTGGTGGTGGTGGTGATGGTGGTGGTGGTGATGGTGGTGATGGTGGTGGTGGTGATGGTAGTGGTGGTGGTGGTGGTGATGGTGGTGATGGTGGTGGTGGTGATGGTGGTGATGGTGGTGGTGGTGATGGTGGTGATGGTGGTGGTGGTGATGGTGGTGGTGGTGATGGTGGTGGTGGTGGTGATGGTGATGGTGGTGGTGGTGATGGTGGTGGTGGTGGTGATGGTGGTGGTGGTGGTGGTGGTGATGGTGGTGGTGGTGATGGTGGTGGTGGTGGTGATGGTGATGGTGGTGGTGGTGATGGTGGTGATGGTGGTGGTGATGGTGGTGATGGTGGTGGTGGTGGTGGTGATGGTGATGGTGGTGGTGATGGTGGTGGTGGTGGTGATGGTGGTGGTGGTGATGGTGGTGGTGGTGGTGGTGATGGTGGTGGTGATGGTGGTGATGGTGGTGGTGGTGGTGATGGTGGTGATGGTGGTGGTGGTGGTGATGGTGGTGGTGGTGATGGTGGTGATGGTGATGGTGGTGGTGATGGTGGTGGTGGTGGTGATGGTGGTGGTGGTGGTGATGGTGGTGATGGTGGTGGTGGAGGTGGTGGTGGTGGTGGTGATGGTGGTGGTGGTGATGGTGGTGGTGGTGAGGGTGGTGGTGGTGGTGAGGGTGGTGGTGGTGGTGGTGGTGAGGGTGGTGGTGGTGGTGGTGATGGTGGTGGTGGTGGTGGTGGTGAGGGTGGTGGTGGTGAGGGTGGTGGTGAGGGTGGTGGTGAGGGTGGTGGTGGTGGTGGTGAGGGTGGTGGTGGTGGTGGTGAGGGTGGTGGTGGTGGTGATGATGGTGGTAGTGGTGGTGGTGATGATGGTGGTGGTGAGGGTGGTGGTGGTGGAGGTGGTGGTGGTGGTGGTGAGGGTGGTGGTGGTGGTGGTGATGGTGGTAGTGGTGAGGGTAGTGGTGGTGAGGGTGGTGGTGGTGGTGGTGAGGGTGGTGGTGGTGGTGAGGGTGGTGGAGGTGGTGGTGGTGGTGGTGGTGAGGGTGGTGGTGGTGGTGGTGGTGGTGATGGTGGTGGTGGTGGTGAGGGTGGTGGTGGTGAGGGTGGTGGTGGTGGTGAGGGTGGTGGTGGTGGTGGTGAGGGTGGTGGTGGTGATGGTGGTGATGGTGGTGGTGGAGGTGGTGGTGGTGGTGGTGGTGATGGTGGTGGTGGTGATGGTGGTGGTGGTGAGGGTGGTGGTGGTGGTGAGGGTGGTGGTGGTGGTGGTGGTGGTGAGGGTGGTGGTGGTGGTGGTGATGGTGGTGGTGGTGGTGGTGAGGGTGGTGGTGGTGGTGGTGGTGAGGGTGGTGGTGAGGGTGGTGGTGAGGGTGGTGGTGGTGAGGGTGGTGGTGGTGGTGGTGAGGGTGCGGGTGGTGGTGATGATGGTGGTGGTGAGGGTGGTGGTGGTGGAGGTGGTGGTGGTGGTGATGGTGGTGGTGAGGGTGGTGGTGGTGGTGATGGTGGTGGTGGTGGTGGTGAGGGTGGTGGTGGTGGTGGTGGTGATGATGGTGGTGGTGGTGAGGGTGGTGGTGGTGAGGGTGGTGGTGGTGGTGATGGTGGTGGTGGTGGTGAGGGTGGTGGTGGTGAGGGTGGTGGTGGTGGTGAGGGTGGTGGTGGTGGTGGTGAGGGTGGTGGTGGTGGTGGTGGTGGTGAGGGTGGTGGTGATGATGGTGGTGGTGATGATGGTGTTGGTGGTGGTGGTGATGATGGTGGTGGTGGTGATGGTGGTGGTGGTGATGGTGGTGATGGTGGTGGTGGTGATGGTGGTGATGGTGGTGGTGATGATGGTGGTGGTGAGGGTGGTGGTGGTGGTGAGGGTGGTGGTGGTGGTGGTGATGGTGGTGGTGGTGGTGAGGGTGGTGGTGGTGAGGGTGGTGGTGGTGAGGGTGGTGGTGGTGAAGGTGGTGGTGGTGGAGGTGGTGGTGGTGGTGAGGGTGGTGGTGGTGGTGGTGGTGATGGTGGTGGTGGTGGTGAGGGTGGTGGTGGTGAGGGTGGTGGTGGTGGTGAGGGTGGTGGTGGTGGTGGTGAGGGTGGTGGTGGTGGTGATGATGGTGGTGGTGGTGGTGATGATGGTGTTGGTGGTGGTGGTGGTGATGATGGTGGTGGTGGTGGTGAGGGTGGTGGTGGTGGTGAGGGTGCTGGTGGTGGTGGTGAGGGTGGTGGTGGTGGTGAGTGTGGTGGTGGTGGTGGTGGTGGTGGTGATGGTGGTGATGGTGGTGGTGGTGATGGTGGTGATGGTGGTGGTGGTGGTGGAGGTGGTGGAGGTGATGGTGGTGATGGTGGTGGTGGAGGTGGTGGTGGTGGTGGTGGTGGTGATGATGGTGGTGATGGTGGTGATGGTGGTGGTGGAGGTGGTGGTGGTGGTGGTGGTGGTGATGGTGGTGGTGGTGGTGGAGGTGTTGGTGGTGGTGGTGGTGATGATGGTGGTGGTTGTGAGGGTGGTGGTGGTGAGGGTGCTGGTGGTGGTGGTGAGGGTGGTGGTGGTGGTGGTGAGGGTGGTGGTGGTGGTGGTGATGGTGGTGGTGATGGTGGTGGTGGTGGTGGTGTGGTGAGGGTGGTGGTGGTGGTGGTGGTGGTGGTGAGGGTGGTGGTGGTGGTGGTGAGGGTGGTGGTGGTGGTGGTGATGGTGGTGGTGATGGTGGTGGTGGTGGTGGTGTGGTGAGGGTGGTGGTGGTGGTGGTGGTGATGGTGGTGATGGTGGTGGTGGTGGTGGTGGTGGTGATGGTGGTGGTGGGGATGGTGGTGGTGGTGAGGGTGGTGGTGGTGGTGGTGAGGGTGGTGGTGGTGGTGGAGGTGTTGGTGGTGGTGGTGGTGAGGGTGGTGGTGGTGGTGGTGATGGTGGTGGTGGTGGTGAGGGTGAGGGTGTTGGTGCTGGTGGTGGTGGTGAGGGTGGTGGTGGTGGTGGTGATGGTGATGGTGGTGGTGGTGGTGATGGTGGTGGTGGTGATGGTGGTGGTGGTGAGGGTGGTGGTGGTGAGGGTGGTGGTGGTGGTGGTGATGGTGGTGATGGTGGTGGTGGTGATGGTGGTGATGGTGGTGGTGGTGATGGTGGTGGTGATGGTGATGGTGGTGGTGATGGTGGTGGTGGTGTTGGTGGTGGTGGTGGTGATGGTGGTGATGGTGGTGATGGTGGTGGTGGTGGTGAGGGTGGTGGTGGTGAGGGTGGTGGTGGTGGTGGTGGTGGTGAGGGTGGTGGTGGTGGTGGTGGTGATGGTGGTGATGGTGGTGGTGGTGGTGATGGTGGTGATGGTGGTGGTGGTGATGGTGGTGATGGTGGTGGTGGTGATGGTGGTGGTGGTGATGGTGGTGGTGGAGGTGATGGTGGTGGTGATGGTGGTGATGGTGGTGGTTTTGGTGGTGGTGGTGGTGGTGATGGTGGTGGTGGTGGTGATGAGGGTGGTGGTGGTGAGGGTAGTGGTGGTGGTGGTGATGATGGTGGTGGTGGTGGTGATGGTGGTGGTGATGGTGGTGGTGGTGATGGTGGTGATGGTGGTGGTGGTGATGGTGATGGTGTTGGTGGTGGTGATGGTGGTGGTGATGATGGTGGTGATGGTGGTGGTGGTGGTGATGGTGATGGTGGTGGTGATGGTGTTGGTGATTGTGGTGGTGATGGTGGTGGTGGTGATGGTGGTGGTGGTGATGGTGGTGAGGGTGGTGGTGAGGGTGGTGGTGAGGGTGGTGGTGAGGGTGGTGGTGGTGGAGGTGATGTTGATGATCTTGACGATGGTGGTGGTGGGGGTGGTGGTGGTGGTGGTGATGGTGGTGGTGATGATGGTGGAGGTGGTGGTGATGGTGGTGGTGGTGGTGGTGATGGTGGTGGTGGTGGTGGTGGAGGTGGTGGTGGTGGTGGTGGTGGAGGTGGTGGTGGTGATGGTGGTGGAGGTGGTGGTGGTGGTGCTGGTGGTGGTGCTGGTGGTGGTGGTGGAGGTGGTGGTGGTGGTGGTGATGGTGGTCATGGTGGAGGTGATGGTGGTGGAGGTGATGGTGGTGGAGGCGATGGTGGTGGTGGTTGTGGTGGTGGAGGTGATGGTTGTGGTGGTGGAGGTGATGGTGGAGGTGATGGTGGTGATGGTGGAGGTGATGGTGGAGGTGGTGGTGGTGGTGGTGGTGGTGGAGGTGGTGGAGGTGGTGATGGTGGTGGTGGTGGAGGTGGTGATGGTGGTGGTGGAGGTGATGGTGGTGGTGGTGGTGATGGTGGTGGTGATGGTGGTGGTGATGGTGGTGGAGGTGATGGTGGTGATGGTGGTGGTGGTGGTGGTGGTGGTTGTGGTGGTGGAGGTGATGGTTGTGGTGGTGGAGGTGATGGTGGTGATGGTGGAGGTGATGGTGGTGGTGGTGGAGGTGATGGTGGTGATGGTGGAGGTGATGGTGGAGGTGGTGGTGGAGGTGGTGGTGGTGGAGGTGGTGGAGGTGGTGATGGTGGTGGTGGTGGAGGTGGTGATGGTGGTGGTGGAGGTAATGGTGGAGGTGGCGATAATTGACTGCTACCCATTTCTTGTCCACCACCCCCAATACCACCACCACCACCATCATCATCAACCCCCACCATCACCATCATCACCACCACCACCATCACCTCCACCATCACCACCATCACCTCCACCACCACCACCATCACCTCCACCATCACCACCATCACCTCCACCATCACCTCCACCACCACAACCATCACCTCCACCATCACCACCATCACCTCCACCACCACCACCACCACCATCACCTCCACCATCACCACCATCACCTCCACCACCACCACCACCATCACCTCCACCATCACCACCATCACCACCACCATCACCACCATCACCACCACCACCATCACCACCACCATCACCACCACCACCACCAACACCACCACCACCCCCAACACCATCACCACCATCACCACCACCACCACTACCACCACCAGGTTAAGAATTTGCTGACGGTGGCCGTGGAAGTTGATCTGTGGATCTCCGTGCAATCCGGATCGATGGAAGACACTCACCTGTCAATCAAGCAGGTAGCCTCCATACTCACTAACTCCTCACTAATCACTAACACTCAATACTACTCACTCACACAGAGACCCACAGACTCACTCCTACACAGAGACCCACAGACTCACTCACACAGAGACCCACAGACTCACTCCTACACAGAGACCCACAGACTCACTCACACAGAGACCCACATACTCACTCCTACACAGAGACCCACAGACTCACTCCTACACAGAGACCCACAGACTCACACAGAGATCCACAGACTCACTCACACAGAGACCCACAGACTCACTCACACAGAGACCCACAGACTCACTCCTACACAGAGACCCACAGACTCACTCACACAGAGACCCACAGACTCACTCCTACACAGAGACCCACAGACTCACTCACACAGAGACCCACATACTCACTCCTACACAGAGACCCACAGACTCACTCCTACACAGAGACCCACAGACTCACTCACACAGAGACCCACAGACTCACACAGAGACCCATAGACTCACTCACACAGAGACCCACAGACTCACTCACACAGAGACCCACAGACTCACACAGAGACCCATAGACTCACTCACACAGAGACCCACAGACTCACTTACACAGAGACCCACAGACTCACTCACACAGATACCCACAGACTCACTCACACAGAGACCCACAGACTCACTCACACAGAGACCCACAGACTCACTCACACAGAGACCCACAGACTCACTCACACAGAGACCCACAGACTCACACAGAGACCCACAGACTCACACAGAGACCCATAGATTCACTCACACAGAGACCCACAGACTCACTCACACAGAGACCCACAGACTCACTCACACAGAGACCCACAGACTCACTCACACAGAGACCCACAGACTCACCACGCAGAGACCCACAGACTCACTCACACAGAGACCCACAGACTCACCACTCACACAGAGACCCACAGACTCACTCACACAGAGACCCACAGACTCACACAGAGACCCACAGACTCACACAGAGACCCATAGATTCACTCACACAGAGATCCACAGACTCACTCACACAGAGACCCACAGACTCACTCACACAGAGACCCATAGACTCACACACACAGAGACCCATAGACTCATTCACACAGAGACCCACAGACTCACTCACACAGAGACCCACAGACTCACTCACACAGAGACCCACAGACTCACTCACACAGAGACCCACAGACTCACTCACACAGAGACCCACAGACTCACTAACACAGAGACCCACAGACTCACTCACACAGACACCCACACACTCACACACAGACCCACAGACTCACTCACACAGAGACCCACAGACTCACACAGAGACCCACTCACACAGAGACCCACAGACTCACTCACACAGAGACCCACAGACTCACTCACACAGAGACCCACAGACTCACTCACACAGAGACCCACAGACTCACTCACACAGAGACCCACAGACTAACTCACACAGAGACCCACAGACTCACTCACACAGAGACCCACAGACTCACTCACACAGAGACTCACAGACTCACTCACACAGAGACCCACAGACTCACTCACACAGACACCCACAGACTCACTCACACAGAGACCCACAGACTCACTCACACAGAGACCCACAGACTCACTCACACAGAGACCCACAGACTCACTCACACAGAGACCCATAGATGATAATGATGATGCTGCTGATGATGATGCTACTGACGATGATGATGCTACTGATGATGACGATCTGCTGATGATGATGCTCGTGATGCTACTGTAGATGATGCTACTGATGATGATGATGCTACTGATGATGATGATGATGCTACTGATGCTGCTGACGATTATGATGCTGCTGATGATGCTACTGAAGATGATGCTACTGATGATGATGATGATGCTGATGATGATGCTGATGATGATGATGATGCTGATGCTGATGATGCTGCTGATGATGATGCTGATGATGATGATGATGCTGCTGATGATGATGCTAACTGGGATTGCTGTTCGGCTTTGTCCCAGAAGCTTCCTCAAGCTGACTGCAGCCTTGAGTCGGAGATTCCAGCGGAAGATGGAGACGCACTTCCAGTGGTGAACACTCACTCACTCGCTCACTCATTCACTCACTCACTCATTCATACACACACTCACTCACTCATTCACTCACTCATACACTCATTCATACACACACTCACTCACTCATTCATTCACTCACTCACTCATTCATACACACACTCATTCATTCACTCACTCACTCATTCATACACACACTCACTCATTCATTCACTCACTCATTCATTCATACATACACATACTCATACACTCACACACTCATACACTCACTCATACACTCACTCATACACTCACTCATACACTCGCTCACTCATTCACTCACTCATTCATACACTCACTCATTCATTCATACATACACATACTCATACACTCATACACTCACACACTCATACACTCACTCATACACTCATTCATACTCACTCATACACTCACTCACTCATACACTCACTCATACACCCATTCATACATACACATACTCATACACTCATACACTCACACACTCATACACTCACTCATACACTCACTCACTCATACATACACTCACTCATACACTCATTCACTCACTCGCTCACTCATTCATACACACACTCACTCACTCATTCATTCACTCACTCACTCATTCATACACACACTCACTCATTCATTCACTCACTCATTCATTCATACATACACATACACTCACACACTCATACACTCACTCATACAATCACTCACTCATTCACTCATTCACTCACTCATTCATACACTCACTCATTCATTCATACATACACATACTCATACACTCACACACTCATACACTCACTCATACACTCACTCACTCATTCACTCATTCACTCACTCATTCATACACTCACTCATTCATTCATACATACACATACACTCACACACTCATACACTCACTCATACAATCACTCACTCATTCACTCACTCATTCATACACTCACTCATTCATTCATACATACACATACTCATACACTCACACACTCATACACTCACTCATACACTCACTCACTCATTCACTCATTCACTCACTCATTCATACACTCACTCATTCATTCATACATACACATACTCATACACTCACACACTCATACACTCACTCATACACTCACTCACTCATTCACTCACTCATTCATACACTCACTCATTCATTCATACATACACATACTCATACACTCACACACTCATACTCATACATACACACACTCACTCATTCATTCACTCATTCACTCACTCATACACTCACACACTCACTCACAAACACACACACACACTCATACACTCACTCGCTCACTCATTCATACACACACATACTAATACACTCATTCATTCACTAATTCACTCACTCATACACTCATACACTCACTCATTCACTCACTCATACACTCATTCACTCACACACTCACTCACTCATTCATACACACACTCACTCATACACTCACTCACTCATTCATACACACACTCATACACTCATTCATTCACTCATTCACTCACTCACTCATTCATACACACACTCACTCATTCACTCATACACTCACACACTCATACACTCACTCGCTCACTCATTCATACACACACTCACTCAACACTCATTCATTCACTCATGCATTCACTCATTCACTCACTCGCTCACTCACTCACACACTCACTCACAAACACACACACACACTCATACACTCATTCATTCACTCATTCACTCACTCATACACTCATACACTCACACACTCACACACTCACTCACAAACACACACACACACACTCATACACTCACTCGCTCACTCATTCACTCACTCACACACACACTCATACATACACACACTCACTCATTCACTCATTCATTCACTCCTACACTCATTCATTCACTCATTCACTCACTCATACACTCATACACTCACACACTCACTCACAAACACACACACATACTCATACACATACTCATACACTCATTCATTCACACACTCACTCACACTCACACACTCACTCACTCACACACTCACTCACTCACACACACACTCACACACTCACGCACTCACTCACACACTCACACACACTCACTCACACACACGCACTCACTCACTCACACACTCACACATTCACACACACTCATACACACTCACACACTCACACACTCACTCACACACACTCACTCACACACTCACTCACACACACACTCATACACTCACTCACACACACTCACTCACACACACACTCACACACACACTCACTCACACACTCACTCACTCACACACTCACTCACTCCCTCACACACTCACACACTCACACACACTCACACACTCACACACACTCACTCACACACTCACTCACACATACACACACCCACTCACTCACACACTCACACACTCACACACACACTCACACACTCACACACTCACTCACACACACTCACTCATACACTCACTCATACACTCACTCACACTCACACACTCACTCACACACACTCATACACTCACTCACACACTCACTCACTCATACACTCACTCACTCATACACTCACTCACTCACTCATACACTCACTCACACACTCACACACACAGAGCCTCCACCCCCCAAGCACTTGCCCCTACAGCCCGTGAGAGGCTACCCGGGGGACCTTTGCCTGTGTCTTTGTGCAGCGGTGTGCAGCGGGCGCGTGCCTCCGTTGCCCCCTTCTGGTGCCCGGCAAGCAGAGCAGGGAATTGTGGGTAGAGGGCACCGTGACCTTGACCTGGGGGAGTCAGGTGAGTCGAACCGCTCACTCACTCACTCAGTCACTCACTCAGTTACTCACCCGCTCGCTCAGTCACTCACTCAGTCACTCAGTCACTCACTCAGTCACTCAGTCACTCACTCACTCAGTCAGTCAGTCACTCACTCAGTCAGTCAGTCACTTAGTCACTCACTCACTCAGTCACTCAGTCACTCAGTCACTCACTCAGTCACTCACTCACTCACTGAGTCACTCACTCAGTCAGTCACTCAGTCAGTCACTCACTCAGTCACTCACCCGCTCGCTCAGTCACTCACTCAGTCACTCAGTCACTCACTCAGTCACTTAGTCACTTAGTCACTCACTCAGTCACTCAGTCACTCACTCAGTCAGTCACTCAGTCACTCACTCAGTCACTCACTCAGTCACTCACTCGCTCAGTCAGTCACTCACTCACTCAGTCACTCACTCAGTCACTCACTCAGTCACTCACTCAGTCAGTCAATCACCCGCTCACTCAGTCGCTCACTCAGTCACTCACTCTGTCACTCAGTCACTCACCCACTCGCTCAGTCACTTGCTCGCTCACTCAGTCACTCACTCGCTCACTCAGTCGCTTAGTCACTCACCCGCTCGTTCAGTCACTCACTCACTCACTCAGTCACTCACACGCTCACTCAGTCACTCACTCGCTTACTCAGTCGCTCAGTCACTCACTCAGTCACTCACTCAGTCACTCACTCAGTCAATGAGTCACTCACCTGCTCACTCATTCACTCACTCAGTCACTCACACGCTCACTCAGTCACTCACTCAGTCACTGAGTCACTCACCCACTCACTCAGTCACTCACTCAGTCACTCACATGCTCACTCAGTCACTCGCTCACTCAGTCACTCACCCGCTCACTCAGTCACTCATACGGTCACTCAGTCACTCACTCACACGCTCGCTCAGTCACTCACTCAGTCACTCACTCGCTCACTCAGTTACTCATTCACTCACTCAGTCACTCACTCAGTCACTCACTCGCTCACTCAGCCACTCACTCAGTCACTCAGCCACTCACTCAATCACTCACTCACCCACTCGCTACTAACAGCACTTGCCCCTACAGCCCTGCAAGAGGCTACACGGGGATCTTTGTCTGTGTGTGTGTAGGTGCTGCTACTCGCTACTAACACAGCACTTGCCCCTACAGCCCAGTTAGAGGCTACACGGGGGACCTTTGTCTGTGTGTGTATGTAGGTGCTGCTACTCGCTACTAACACAGCACTTGCCCCTACAGCCCTGCAAGAGGCTACACGGAGGACCTTTGTCTGTGTGTGTGTCTGTGTGTAGGTGCTGCTACTCGCTACTAACACAGCACTTGCCCCTACAGCCACTGTTAGAGGCTACACGGGGGACCTTTGCCTTTGCCTCTGTGCCGTCAACAGTTCAAGAGGATCGCTCCTTTCTTGGTGAACGCGGCCGTGCGGATGAACGGGACTCGGTACTGGAACGTGGACAAGACGCCTCGCCACAGGACCTCGGTGAGAGGGTCACGTGACCCGTCCACGGTTTGGGGGAGACAAAGGCGGCCGTGCGGGCGAGCGGGCAGGCGGGCACATCACCACCGACTCTGGCCCGTGCCGTTGCTGCTACTCGCTACTGACACAGCACTTGCCCCCTACAGCCACTGTTAGAGGCTACCTGGGGGAGCTTTGTCTGTGTCTGTGTGTAGGTGCTGCTAATCGCTACTGACAGCACTTGCCCCTACAGCCACTGTTAGAGGCTACACGGGGGACCTTTGTCTGTGTCTGTGTGTGTAGGTGCTGCTACTCGCTACTAACAGCACTTGCCCCTACGGCATGTTAGAGGCTACACGGGGGACCTTTGTCTGTGTGTAGGTGCTGCTACTCGCTACTAACAGCACTTGCCCCTACAGCCACTGTTAGAGGCTACCTGGGGGAGCTTTGTCTGTGTCTGTGTGTAGGTGCTGCTACTCGCTATTAACACAGCACTTGCCCCTACGGCATGTTAGAGGCTACACGGGGGACCTTTGTCTGTGTAAGTGCTGCTACTCGCTACTGACAGCACTTGCCCCTACAGCCACTGTTAGAGGCTACACGGGGGACCTTTGTCTGTGTGTGTGTGTAGGTGCTGCTACTCGCTACTGACAGCACTTGCCCCTACGGCATGATAGAGGCTACCTGGGGGAGCTTTGTCTGTGTGTGTGTGTAGGTGCTGCTACTCGCTACTAACAGCACTTGCCCCTACGGCATGTTAGAGGCTACACGGGGGACCTTTGTCTGTGTGTGTGTAGGTGCTGCTACTCTCTATTAACACAGCACTTGCCCCTACGGCATGTTAGAGGCTACACGGGGGACCTTTGTCTGTATCTGTGTAGGTGCTGCTACTCGCTACTGACAGCACTTGCCCCTACAGCCACTGTTAGAGGCTACACGGGGGACCTTTGTCTGTGTGTGTCTGTGTGTAGGTGCTGCTACTCGCTACTAACAGCACTTGCCCCTACAGCCACTGTTAGAGGCTACACGGGGGACCTTTGTCTGTGTGTGTAGGTGCTGCTACTCGCTACTAACAGCACTTGCCCCTACGGCCCTGTCAGAGGCTACACGGGGGAGCTTTGTCTGTGTCTGTGTGTAGGTGCTGCTACTCGCTATTAACACAGCACTTGCCCCTACAGCCACTGTTAGAGGCTACCTGGGGGAGCTTTGTCTGTGTCTGTGTGTAGGTGCTGCTACTCGCTATTAACACAGCACTTGCCCCTACGGCATGTTAGAGGCTACACGGGGGACCTTTGACTGTGTGTGTAGGTGCTGCTACTCGCTACTAACAGCACTTGCCCCTACGGCCCTGTCAGAGGCTACACGGGGGAGCTTTGTCTGTGTCTGTGTGTAGGTGCTGCTACTCGCTACTAACAGCACTTGCCCCAGCGGGTGAGTAGGTGCATGAGGGGGTGAGTGAGTGGGTGAGTGAGTGGGTGAGTGAGTGACTGGGAGAGTGGGGAGGTGAGTGAGTGAGTGGATGAGTGGGTGGGTGAGTGGGTGGGTGGGTGGGTAGGTATGTGAGTGGGTAGGTGGGTGGGTGGGTGAGTGAGTGAGTGGTTGGGTGAGTGGGTAGGTGGGTAGGTGAGTGGGTGAGTGGGTGAGTGGGTGAGTGAGTGAGTGGGTAGGTGAGTGATTGAGTGAGTGGGTAGGTGAGTGAGTGAGTGGGTAGGTGAGTGAGTAAGTTGATGGTGATGTAGGTGATGGTGGAGGTGGTGACGATGGAGGTGATGGAGGTGATGGTGGAGGTGGTGATGATGGAGGTGATGTTGGAGGTGGTGATGATGGAGGTGATGTTGGAGATGGTGATGATGGAGGTGATGTTGGAGGTGGTGATGATGGAGGTGATGGAGGTGATGATGGAGGTGATTGTGGAGGTGGTGATGATGGAGGTGATGTTGGAGGTGGTGACGATGGAGGTGATGGAGGTGATGGTGGAGGTGGTGATGATGGAGGTGATGGTGGAGGTGATGGTGACGATGGAGGTGATGGAGGTGGTGGTGGAGGTGGTGATGATGGAGGTGATGGTGGAGGTGGTGATGATGGAGGTGATGGAGGTGATGGTGGAGGTGGTGATGATGGAGGTGGTGGTGACGATGGAGGTGATGGAGGTGGTGATGGTGGAAGAGGTGATGATGAAGGTGATCTTGGAGATGGAGGTGATGATGGAGGTGATGGTGGAGGTGGTGATGATGGAGGTGATGTTGGAGATGGAGGTGATGGAGGTGATGGTGGAAGTGATGGTGACGATGGAGGTGATGATGGAGGTGATGGTGGAGGTGGTGATGATGGAGGTGATGTTGGAGATGGAGGTGATGGAGGTGATGGAGGTGATGGTGGAAGTGGTGCCGGACGGGCAACGCTGTGGTGAGCAGTGCCTTGGGGGCAGGGCCAATTGTCGATTGGCCATTCCCCTCATGGCGTCTGTGACCACCACAGCGGCTAAACGGGGGCTCTGGACGGGTGCGAGGGGCTGGTAACCCCTCCACCTTCAATAAATTACCACTAAACCACGTCTAAGATATCTAACTAATAAGCTTGTGCCGGAGGCCCCGGGGGGACAGGCGTCTATGACGTCTCCTGGCCAAACCCCAATTTGGCGGAGCCAGGAGATTGAATACCTACCCTCGGGGCTCCTCCAGAAACAACGAAAAGCCACTACGGGTGGCCACGTGGAATGTTCGAACGCTCACTGCGGAGGAGAGGCTGCCACTCCTCTGTCGGGAGCTGGACCGGTACCGCCTGGGTCTCTGCGGTTTTCAGGAGGTCCGGTGGACCGGTTCTGGCTCCTGCTACCATGAGGGGTGGACAGTCCTCTACTCGGGGCAGCAGACTGCCAAACAACAGGGAGTGGCTCTTCTTTTGAACAAAAGAATGAAGGGGGCGTGGGAGCGTGGCGGTGAGGTGTGGGAAGCTGTAAGCCCCAGGCTACTTTGGGCTCGCCTTCCCATCAACCGGAGGCGATGAGTCGTGGTCGTGGTTACTTATGCCCCCACCGAAGACGAAAATCCGTGGAGGGATGCAGGCAAGGCCGATGAGTCAGATGCCTTCTATGACCTCCTGTCACAGGTGCTGGCTAAAGTGGCACCTCGGGATAGAGTCATCATGTTGGGTGACTTCAATGTCCGAGTTGGTCATGATGCTGGCACCTGGTCTGGAGTGATTGGAAGGCATGGGCCAGATCAGCTCAATATCAACAGTAGGAGGCTGCTAGACTTTTGTGCAGCCCATGGGCTTGTAATTACCAACACGCTGTTCCGGCATCGGCGCATCCACACAACATCATGGATGCATGCTGGGTCCAAGCAAGAACATCTGCTGGACTACATAGTGACGGAACAGCGGGTGCGGGCCCATGTCCTTGACACCAGGGCCTACCGTGGAGCTGATCTGCCCTCTGACCATCGACTTGTCGTCTGTAAGATGCACCTGCCATTCTTCCACTCCGGCGGTGGGTGTACACCCAGGACCCCATTCCAACCTAAAGTGGCCTGGTCTCAGTTATCTGATGAAAGTTGCAAGCGAGAATTTCATCATCGCCTGCGGCTGGGGTTGGCATCGTCCCCCACTCCTCCTGATGTCGAGGGTAAATGGGCGAGGTTTTAGGACTGTGACTCATGCAGCTGCAATGGCTGCTTTAGGTACACGGTCCAGACCTCCCAAGATACCCTGGCTGACAGAAGAGGTGTTCAGGATAGTTGAGAAAAAGCGACCCTATCTCACATCAGCTACATAATCCCACGTCAGAGAATGAGGAGGCTTACCGCAGCCTTTGCTCGGAGGTTTGGAGAGCCGTGAGGCGCTGCAAGGATGGGTGGTGGTCGCGGGTTGCTGAGGAGATGGAGTCTGCCTCAGTGGCGCGTGGTCACAAATAACTCTTTAACTTCATTAAAAAAAAAGTTACTTATAGTGCCACACTGATCGCCATCACTAGGGGAAAGAACGGTGATCCAATCTCCTACCCCCAGGAACAGGTTTGCAGATTTGTTGAGCATTTCTGTGAGGTTTTGGGGGAGGGGAAATCACTCAGCCTGGAAAACATCATGCGACAAAGTGGGGATGACCCTGCTGAGGCTGCGGTGCCTCAAATATTGGAGGAGGAAGTCACCCCCTGTGAGTGGCTGGCTGAAGTGCCATCTGTTGAGGAAGAACTGAAGGCGATCCAGAGTCTGAGACTAGGAAAGGCACCGGCCAGAGATGATCTCCCAAGCCACATGCTGAGGGAGGGTGGCGTTTGTGTACAGACTGCCCTACATGACATCATAACAACAGTCTGGACCAATGGACGGGTTCCACAGGATTGGAAGGATGCCCTGGTGGTCCCCCTCTTTAGGAAGGGGGACCGCACAGACTGTAACAACTACAGGGGCATCTCACTCCTCAGTGTGCCGGGAAAGGTCCTGGCAAGGATTATTCAACATCGCCTTGCCAGGCACGCTGAGGAGAGGCTTGCGGAGCCCCAGTGCGGTTTCATGAAAGGGCGGTCCTGCACAAATGCCATATTTTCTGTCCGTCTGCTACAGCAGAGATGTAGGGAATTCCAACAAGACCTACATCTCTGCTTTATTGACCTGGTCAAGGCCTATGATGCCATCACTAGGCCTGGGCTCTGGGTTGTTCTTCGTGCTTTTGGAGTCCCTGACCCTCTGCTCACGATCATTAAGGACCTTCATGATGGTGAGCGGGCCCGGGTAAAACTACGTGGCCGGGAGTCAGAGCCATTCCCTGTTCACCTTGGGGTGCGACAGGGATGTCCTCTGGCTCCCGGATTATTTAACATCTATTTTGACCACGTAGTTCGTGAAGCCTTTGATGGTTGTACCAGAGGAATTTCCATCTGGTATAGATACAATGGGAGGCTGATCGATGCCCAGGTGCGGTCAAGGGATGGTTCCCTATGCCTTGGTAGTTTGTACCATACTCCACCCCGACAACTCCCAATTGGTGATGGGCATATTCTTGGTTCTTTTGGTAAAGTCACATAGAAGGGAAACAATAAAATACTTAAAAATATAAAACGATAAAACTCTCACGACGTTTCGACTGCAACACAAGCAATCATCATCAGGTGTGAAAACCACAACAAGAAAATTTGAAAAAAGTGGCAGTTTTTAAATTTTATTATTTTATTGTTTTATATTTTTATTATTTTATTGTTTCCCTTCTACGTGGTGGTGACTTTACCGAAAGAACCAAGAATAATAATTTTATTGTTTTATATTTTTATTATTTTATTGTTTTATATTTTTATTATTTTATTGTTTCCCTTCTACGTGGTGGAGACTTTACCGAAAGAACCAAGAATAATAATTTTATTGTTTTACAATAATTTTATTGTTTTATATTTTTATTATTTTATTGTTTCCTTTCTACGTGGTGGTGACTTTACCGAAAGAACCAAGAATAATAATTGTATTGTTTTACAATAATTTTATTGTTTTATATTTTTATTATTTTATTGTTTCCCTTCTACGTGGTGGAGACTTTACCGAAAGAACCAAGAATAATAATTTTATTGTTTTACAATAATTTTATTGTTTTATATTTTAATTATTTCATTGTTTCCCTTCTACGTGTTGGAGACTTTACCGAAAGAACCAAGAATAATAATTTTATTGTTTTACAATAATTGTATTGTTTTATATTTTTATTATTTTATTGTTTCCCCTTCTACGTGGTGGTGACTTTACCGAAAGAACCAAGAATAATAATTTTATTGTTTTACAATTATTGTATTTTATATTTTTATTATTTTATTGTTTCCCCTATCTACGTGGTGGTGACTTTACCGAAATAACCAAGCATAATAATTTTATTGTTTTACAATAATTTTATTGTTTTATATTTTAATTTTTTTATTGTTTCCCTTCTACGTGGTGGAGACTTTACCGAAAGAACCAAGAATAATAATTTTATTGTTTTACAATAATTGTATTGTTTTATATTTTTATTATTTTATTGTTTCCCCTTCTACGTGGTGGTGACTTTACCGAAAGAACCAAGAATAATAATTTTATTGTTTTACAATTATTGTATTTTATATTTTTATTATTTTATTGTTTCCCCTATCTACGTGGTGGTGACTTTACCGAAATAACCAAGCATAATAATTTTATTGTTTTACAATAATTTTATTGTTTTATATTTTAATTTTTTTATTGTTTCCCTTCTACGTGGTGGTGGCTTTACCGAAAGAACCAAGAATATGAATCCCTGCAGTCACGAAAGCTTTAAATCAAAATTTGGTGATGGGCAGTTGTAGAGAGAGTGGAGAGTTTGCCATACCTGGGCAGTGTGCTCATGACCGGCTCTGGTTTGACAGCAGAGGTCTCACTCCGAATCAGTCGAGCGGCAATATCTTTTCATCGGTTGCGTAACGCTGTGTGGAAGCTACCTGGTCTGTCGCTCCGCACTAAGCTTCAGGTCTTCTCGGCCACGGTCATTCCCTCCCTTCTCTACGCTTGCGAAACGTGGACCCCCCCGTAATGGAACATTTTCGCCATTTGGAAACATTTAGGCTGGCCCTGCCTACGATCCATCCTGGGTTTAACCAGGCTGCATTGAGTAAGTGAGCTCCTCCGGCAGGCAAGGCTGCCTTGGCTGGGTCATGTAGCCCGCATGCCCAGCCACCGCATGCCGAAACAGCTTTTGTTTGGCCGGATCGAGGGGGCTAAATGGGCACGGCACGGGCTAGAGAAGAGATGGAGTGATGTGGTACAGGAGGACGTGGAGCTGAGTGGACTTGCCGATGACTGGTACCAGCGGTGTCAAGATCGGCCTCTGTGGAGGAGGTGATGATAGAGGTGGTCGTCGTGATGGTGATGGTGGAGGTGGTAGTGGTGATGGTGGCGGTGGTGGTGATGGTAGAGGTGATCGTGGAGGTGATGGTGATGGAGGTGGTGATGATGGTGGTGATGGTGATGATGGTGATGATGGTGGTGATGGTGGTGATGGTGGTGGTGGTGATGATGGTGATGATGGTGGTGGTGATAGCGGAGGTGATGGTGATAGTGGTGGTGATGGTGGAGGTGATGGTGGTGGTGATGATGGTGGTGATGGTGATCATGGTGGTGGTGATGGTGGTGATGGTGGTGGTGATGGTGATGGTGGTGATGGTGGTGGTGGTTGTGGTGATGGCGGTGATGGTGGTGATGGTGGTGATGGCGGTGATGGTGGTGATGGTGGTGGTGATGGTGATGATGGTGATGGTAGTGGTGATGGTGGTGATGGTGGTGGTGATGGTGGTGATGGTGGTGATGGTGGTGGTGGTGGTGGTGGTGGTGATGGCGGTGATGGTGATGATGATGGTGGTGATGGTGGTGATGGTGATGGTGGTGATGGTGGTGATGGTGGAGGTGGTGATGGTGATGATGTTGATGATGGTGATGGTGAATGTGGTGATGGTGATGATGATGGTGGTGATGATGATGATGTTGATGATGATGATGATGTTGATGATGATGATGGTGATGATGGTGATGGTGATGATGATGATGGTGATGAGGATGGTGATGATGGTGATGGTGAATGTGGTGATGATGATGATGTTGGTGATGGTGAATGTGGTGATGATGATGATGTTGGTGATGGTGAATGTGGTGATGGTGATGATGATGATGTTGGTGATGGTGAATGTGGTGATGGTGATGATGATGATGGTGATGATGATGATGAGGATGGTGATGGTGGTGATGATGGTGATGATGATGGTGATGATGATGATGGTGATGATGATGATGGATGATGATGATGAGGATGTTGTCGTCACAGGTCACCATCGACGTGGAGGTGAACTTCACGGTGCCCATCATCGCCATCAGCTCCACTGGAGGATTCTTTCTCCTCCTCATCATCACCATGCTACTCATCAAGGTGACGCCCCCCCCTCCCATAACTCCTCCCCTTACTCCTCCCCCTCCCCTAACTCCTCCCCTAACTCCTCCCCTAACTCCTCCCCCTCCCCTAACTCCTCCCCCAACTCCTCCCCTAACTTCTCCCCCTCCCCTAACTCCTCCCCCAACTCCTCCCCTAACTTCTCCCCCCAACTCCTCCCCTAACTCCTCCCCCTCCACTAGCTCCTCCCCCAACTCCTCCCCTAACTCCTCCCCCTCCCCTAACTCCTCCCCCTCCCCTAACTCCTCTCCCAACTCCTCCCCTAACTTCTCCCCCTCCCCTAACTCCTCCCCCAACTCCTCCCCTAACTTCTCCCCCCAACTCCTCCCCTAACTCCTCCCCCTCCACTAGCTCCTCCCCCAACTCCTCCCCTAACTCCTCCCCCTCCCCTAACTCCTCCCCCAACTCCTCCCCTTACTCCTCCACTAACTCCTCCCCCTCCCCTAACTCCTCCACCAACTCCTCCAACCCCCCCCCCCAACTCCTCCCCCAACTCCTCCCCCTCCCGTAACTCCTCCCCCAACTCCTCCCCTTACTCCCCCAACTCCTCCCCCAACTCCTCCCCCAACTCCTCCCCCAACTCCTCCCCCTCCCCAAACTCCTCCCCCAACTCCCCCCCCAACTCCTCCCCCCCCAACTCCTCCCCCAACTCCTCCCCTAACTCCTCCCCCTCCCGTAACTCCTCCCCCAACTCCTCCCCCAACTCCTCCCCTTACTCCTCCACAAACTCCTCCCCCAACTCCTCCCCCTCCCCTAACTCCTCCCCCAACTCCTCCCCCAACTCCTCCCCCAACTCCTCCCCCAACTCCTCCCCTAACTCTTCCCCTAACTCCTCCCCCAACTCCTCCCCTTACTCCTCCACTAACTACTCCCCCAATCCCTCCCCCCCCTTCCAACCACACCCCCAATCCCTCCCCCAACCCTTCCACCAACTCCACCCTCAACTCCTCCCCCTTTCCCCAACTCCTCCCCTAATTTATGCTAATGTATGCACCACCTCACCTCACCTCACCTCTCTCTCACAGTGTGGATTCTTCCGGCGCAAGGCGATAAGTGAGGAGTCTCGCTCCGTGTTGAGAGGCCAAGTCCAGGAGGAGGGCGAGGAGGTGGGGGGGGAAGTGGGGGGGGAGGAGGGGGAGGAGGAGGAGGTGGGGGGGGAGGAGGAGGGGGAGGGTGAAGAAGAGGGTGGTGATGAGGTGTCGAAAAATCAGAAAGTCCTTCAGAAGGACTTGTGAGGATGTTAGTAGGTTCACGATGGCCGTGTGGGTGGGTGGGGTTCACGGTGGCCGTGTGGGTGGGTGGGGTTCACTGTGGCCGTGTGGGTGGGTGGGGTTCACGATGGCCGTGTGGGTGGGTGGGGTTCACGGTGGCCGTGTGGGTGGGTGGGGTTCACGATGGCCGTGTGGGTGGGTGGGTGGGGTTCACAGTGGCCGTGTGGGTGGGTGGGGTTCACGGTGGCCGTGTGGGTGGGTGGGGTTCACGGTGGCCGTGTGGGTGGGTGGGGTTCACGATGGCCGTGTGGGTGGGGTTCACAGTGGCCGTGTGGGTGGGTGGGGTTCACGATGGCCGTGTGGGTGGGTGGGGTTCACGATGGACGTGTCACTGAGTGGGGTTCACGATGGACGTGTCACTGAGTGGGGTTCACGATGGACGTGTCACTGAGTGGGGTTCACGATGGACGTGTCACTGAGTGGGGTTCACGATGGACGTGTCACTGAGTGGGGTTCACGATGGACGTGTCACTGAGTGGGGTTCACGATGGCCGTGTCTCTGAGTGGGGTTCACGATGGACGTGTCACTGAGTGGGGTTCACGATGGACGTGTCACTGAGTGGGGTTCACGATGGACGTGTCACTGAGTGAGGTTCACGATGGACGTGTCACTGAGTGGGGTTCACGATGGACGTGTCACTGAGTGGGGTTCACGATGGACGTGTCACTGAGTGGGGTTCACGATGGACGTGTCACTGAGTGGGGTTCACGATGGACGTGTCTCTGAGTGGGGTTCACGATGTCCATGTCTCTGAGTGGGGTTCACGATGGCCGTGTCACTGAGTGGGGTTCACGATGGACGTGTCTCTGAGTGGGGTTCACGATGGACGTGTCTCTGGGTGGGGTTCACGATGGACGTGTCACTGAGTGGGGTTCACGATGGACGTGTCACTGAGTGGGGTTCACGATGGACGTGTCACTGAGTGAGGTTCACGATGGACGTGTCTCTGAGTGGGGTTCACGATGGACGTGTCTCTGAGTGGGGTTCACGATGGACGTGTCACTTAGTGGGGTTCACGATGGACGTGTCTCTGAGTGGGGTTCACGATGGACGTGTCTCTGAGTGGGGTTCACGATGGACGTGTCACTGAGTGGGGTTCACGATGGACGTGTCACTGAGTGGGGTTCACGATGGACGTGTCACTGAGTGGGGTTCACGATGGACGTGTCACTGAGTGGGGTTCACGGTGGACGTGTCTCTGAGTGGGGTTCACGATGTCCGTGTCTCTGAGTGAGGTTCACGATGGACGTGTCTCTGAGTGGGGTTCACGATGGACGTGTCTCTGAGTGGGGTTCACGATGGACGTGTCACTTAGTGGGGTTCACGATGGACGTGTCTCTGAGTGGGGTTCACGATGGACGTGTCTCTGAGTGGGGTTCACGATGGACGTGTCTCTGAGTGGGGTTCACGATGGACGTGTCTCTGGGTGGGGTTCACGATGGACGTGTCTCTGAGTGGGGTTCACGATGGACGTGTCACTGAGTGGGGTTCACGATGGACGTGTCACTGAGTGGGGTTCACGATGGACGTGTCACTGAGTGGGGTTCACGATGGACGTGTCACTGAGTGGGGTTCACGATGGCCGTGTCACTGAGTGGGGTTCACGATGGACGTGTCACTGAGTGGGGTTCACGGTGGCCGTGTGGGTGAGTGGGGTTCACGATGGACGTGTCACTGAGTGGGGTTCACGGTGGACGTGTCACTGAGTAGGGTTCACGATGGACGTGTCACTGAGTGGGGTTCACGATGGACGTGTCACTGAGTAGGGTTCACGATGGACGTGTCACTGAGTGGGGTTCACGATGGACGTGTCACTGAGTGGGGTTCACGATGGACGTGTCACTGAGTGGGGTTCACGGTGGACGTGTCACTGAGTGGGGTTCACGGTGGACGTGTCACTGAGTGGGGTTCACGATGGACGTGTCTCTGGGTGGGGTTCACGATGGACGTGTCTCTGAGTGGGGTTCACGATGGACGTGTCTCTGGGGTGGGGTTCACGATGGACGTGTCACTGAGTGGGGTTCACGATGGACGTGTCTCTGGGTAGGGTTCACGATGGACGTGTCACTGAGTGGGGTTCACGATGGACGTGTCACTGAGTGGGGCTCACGATGGACGTGTCACTGAGAGTGGTTCACGATGGACGTGTCACTGAGTGGGGTTCACGATGGACGTGTCACTGAGTGGGGTTCACGATGGCCGTGTCACTGAGTGGGGTTCACGATGGACGTGTGGGTGGGTGGGGTTCACGATGGACGTGTCACTGAGTGGGGTTCACGATGGACGTGTCACTGAGTGGGGCTCACGATGGACGTGTCACTGAGAGTGGTTCACGATGGACGTGTCACTGAGTGGGGTTCACGATGGACGTGTCACTGAGTGGGGTTCACGATGTCCGTGTCTCTGAGTGGGGTTCACGATGGACGTGTCTCTGAGTGGGGTTCACGATGGCCGTGTCACTGAGTGGGGTTCACGATGGACGTGTCACTGAGTGGGGTTCACGATGGACGTGTCACTGAGTGGGGTTCACGATGGACGTGTCACTGAGTGGGGTTCACGATGGACGTGTCTCTGAGTGGGGTTCACGATGGACGTGTCACTGAGTGGGGTTCACGATGGACGTGTCACTGAGTGGGGTTCACGATGGACGTGTCACTGAGTGGGGTTCACGATGGACGTGTCTCTGAGTGGGGTTCACGATGGACGTGTCTCTGAGTGGGGTTCACGATGGACGTGTCACTGAGTGGGGTTCACGATGGACGTGTCTCTGAGTGGGGTTCACGATGGCCGTGTCACTGAGTGGGGTTCACGATGGACGTGTCACTGAGTGGGGTTCACGATGGACGTGTCACTGAGTGGGGTTCACGATGTCCGTGTCACTGAGTGGGGTTCACGATGGACGTGTCACTGAGTGGGGTTCACGATGGACGTGTCTCTGAGTGGAGTTCACGATGGACGTGTCTCTGAGTGGGGTTCACGATGGACGTGTCACTGAGTGGGGTTCACGATGGACGTGTCACTGAGTGGGGTTCACGATGGACGTGTCACTGAGTGGGGTTCACGATGGACGTGTCACTGAGTGGGGTTCACGATGGACGTGTCACTGAGTGGGGTTCACGATGTCCGTGTCTCTGAGTGGGGTTCACGATGGACGTGTCACTGAGTGGGGTTCACGATGTCCGTGTCACTGAGTGGGGTTCACGATGGCCGTGTCACTGAGTGGGGTTCACGATGGACGTGTCTCTGAGTGGGGTTCACGATGGACGTGTCACTGAGTGGGGTTCACGATGGACGTGTCACTGAGTGGGGTTCACGATGTCCGTGTCTCTGGGTGGGGTTCACGATGGACGTGTCACTAAATGGGTTCACGATGGACGTGTCACTGAGTGGGGTTCACGATGTCCGTGTCACTGAGTGGGGTTCACGATGTCCGTGTCACTGAGTGGGGTTCACGATGGACGTGTCACTGAGTGGGGTTCACGATGGACGTGTCTCTGAGTGGGGTTCACGATGGACGTGTCTCTGAGTGGGGTTCACGATGGCCGTGTCTCTGAGTGGGGTTCACGATGGACGTGTCTCTGAGTGGGGTTCACGATGGACGTGTCTCTGGGTGGGGTTCACGATGGACGTGTCTCTGAGTGGGGTTCACGATGGACGTGTCACTGAGTGGGGTTCACGATGGACGTGTCACTGAGTGGGGTTCACAATGGACGTGTCACTGAGTGGGGTTCACGATGGACGTGTCACTGAGTGGGGTTCACGATGGACGTGTCACTGAGTGGGGTTCACGATGGACGTGTCACTGAGTGGGGTTCACGATGGACGTGTCTCTGAGTGGGGTTCACGATGGACGTGTCTCTGAGTGGGGTTCACGATGGACGTGTCTCTGAGTGGGGTTCACGATGGCCGTGTCTCTGAGTGGGGTTCACGATGGACGTGTCTCTGAGTGGGGTTCACGATGGACGTGTCACTGAGTGGGGTTCACGATGGCCGTGTCACTGAGTGGGGTTCACAATGGCCGTGTCACTGAGTGGGGTTCACGATGGAAGTGTCACTGAGTGGGGTTCACGATGGACGTGTCACTGAGTGGGGTTCACGATGGACGTGTCACTGAGTGGGGTTCACGATGGACGTGTCACTGAGTGGGGTTCACGATGGCCGTGTCACTGAGTGGGGTTCACGATGGACGTGTCACTGAGTGGGGTTCACGATGGCCATGTCACTGAGTGGGGTTCACGATGTCCGTGTCACTGAGTGGGGTTCACGATGGACGTGTCACTGAGTGGGGTTCACGATGGACGTGTCACTGAGTGGGGTTCACGATGGACGTGTCACTGAGTGGGGTTCACGATGGACGTGTCACTGAGTGGGGTTCACGATGGACGTGTCACTGAGTGGGGTTCACGATGGACGTGTCACTGGGTGGGGTTCACGATGGACGTGTCACTGAGTGGGGTTCACGATGGACGTGTCACTGAGTGGGGTTCACGATGGACGTGTCACTGAGTGGGGTTCACGATGGACGTGTCTCTGAGTGGGGTTCACGATGGCCGTGTCACTGAGTGGGGTTCACGATGGACGTGTCACTGAGTGGGGTTCACGATGGACGTGTCACTGAGTAGGGTTCACGATGGACGTGTCTCTGAGTGGGGTTCACGATGGACGTGTCTCTGAGTGGGGTTCACGATGGACGTGTCACTGAGTGGGGTTCACGATGGACGTGTCACTGAGTGGGGTTCACGATGGACGTGTCACTGAGTGGGGTTCACGATGTCCGTGTCACTGAGTGGGGTTCACGATGTCCGTGTCACTGAGTGGGGTTCACGATGGACGTGTCTCTGAGTGG